ATATATCATTATCATCATATGTACATATTATTTATTATTATCATTATTAATTAGTATATATATATATATATATATATATATATATATATATATATATATATATATATATATAAAACTAAATGCATCTAATGTCATGAAACAAAGACAAAAGAACAAAGAATGAAGCACATCTATATATATATAGTGGATATGCTTGATTGTTCGTTTCTTTTGTCTTCGTTTGATGACATTAGATGCATTTAGTTTTAACTAATGCATCCAAATATATCGCTGTTGATTGTGTTGCGGCAACTCTCATATATTTTCGGTATATTATATTTTATTTTAAGAAAAGTTCCACAACACCAATCATTTGATTCGAACAAGTAATGTCCCAAATTAGACTAGCTGAAGGCAGAAATCGCTGATAAACTTTGCAAAGTTTAGTGTAGATTGGTGCCAAAGCGAAAATGAGACGCAGACATTTAGTACAAAAGACCAAATGAAATCGAAGAGAGATTTTGTTTCACTAATCTTCGAGGTATGAGGACCTTCAAAATCAGAAGTCAAACTTTTAGTTTTCGCCTCAACCACAACCCTATTCTGACAGACAAATCACAACTTTGGGGTATCTAGTGAGGACTGAACCCATCTGTCTATCATACTAGCCATCACTTCACAGTATGTATTTATTCACAGAGATATTTACACACAGAAATAACGGTACAGACAGAACAACATTCATGTTTTGTTAGCGAATTAAATAAGTAGATGTAGAAATCGGTGTAAATTTGTATTGTTTTTTTTTGGTGGGAATCACGTAGTTTAATTAGTTTTCGGTTTAATTTCAAACTTCAAATGACTACGCAATCGCACACAGGTGTATTATCTATTTGTGAGATAAGCTTCGAAAATAACAGATCACAGAGGCTAATTTTCAAAATATGGACGATACATAATGTTTTTCGGTTTTTATTTTATATTTATTTATTTTTAAGATGCGCTGATACTTATTTGTACATAAAATCTTCAGTAATCGAATAATAAAAAATTAGGTTCAGACTAAATGAATGAATTTTTTATGGTTCAATATTTGTAGCTTGGTGTCATTCATCGACCATTTGGGTTTTCAGTTTCAGAGCAAAAATTAACTTTATATAACTTGCAAAAATATATAATTAGCACTAGACCTATCCAAAATATCTTTATTTGTATATAAAAAAAAGCGCTTTGTTTGTCACATATAAGGCTTATAAAATAAACGCTAAACAAAATTTTCCATTGAATTGTTTCCAGTTTATTACATCGCAAGTGTCTTATCTTTTCTTGCAATAGGTTGCCATTTTTTTCTGCGATAGACTAGTTGACAACCAAGGCTATAGGCTCGAAATGAGCGTCGGAGTGCTTGTGGAATTTTGCACAAAAATTCTACTATAAAAATCAGATGTTTGGGACTAGAATCTTTGCTCTAACGGACACCAAATCTTTCATCTCCCAAATGTTTAGTGTTGTACTGTAAGTATACAAATGACTGGCATATATATGCACGCATGTACATGGAAATATTTACGAAGCTTAGCTCAGTTTTGAATCAAACCAAAAGCGTGAGAAACCCAGTGTGGATAGAACTCATTTCTTGGTTTTATAATCTGTAAAACTAGTTTTCTATCCCTTATTGTCCTTATGCCCCTCTTATTACTAAGTCTAACTTATTTGTGCATATGAGGCACTAAGTGAGGATCCAACTAGTAATGGTTAAACAGACTAACTCATTAACCATTACTCCATGCCGAGACACTCATGTAAGTATAGATGCGAAATATATATGAAACGTATGTGAAACGTATTTTTTTATTCCCATTTTTTTTCTCGCGGCCTCATTCTTTTATACATATACGTACGCTTTCACCTTAATATCCATACATACATTTACGAACGCATATACGAAAGTACGAAAAAACAGACGAGCATAAAGATGCCAGAAGACGCATTCATCAATAGAAGCAGATGTCAAAATAGACATATACAGTTTGTCAAGTGCATTTTAAAGGAACATTTTATAAAAGAAATAAACAGTAAGAAAGACATTAGCAGAAAGGCCAAATCAATATATTCAAGGGACAAGTCATTTTAATTCACTTGTTCATTATTGTCAAGGCTACTTATGCCTGATTGTCAGAAGTTGTTTAAGATTCGCTTTTACGCATCTTCGAACGATCACTTAGTATTAGGATAGGGAAGAAGAGTCTTTAATTAATTACATTTTGCTTATATTTCATTCAGTTTCTTACCAATCACCATGTAACTTACAATCAATTTTCTTTCTTTCTTTCTTTCTTTCTTTCTTTCAATTTAATTTTCTCTTTTTACCCGTTTCTTATCTGTTGCATATTTTTTTCGTATTCTCCTTCCAATGTCTCGTTCATTTTCTTTTCTTCCTTTCTATCTGTTTTATCATTTTTATCTTCATTATTTTCATTTTACTTTCAGTATTTCTTACATTTTTTCCTTCCTTATTCCGTGCGCTGTTCATCCTTCCTTCATTTTCTCACAAGCCTCACAAGTACACGTTCATTTATACACATCTATTTTAGCTGCCATCTATTTTAATTTTTTATATAAAAAACTTTCATTAAAACGTGTACACATGCATACACCTATTATATATATATATATATATGTGTGTGTGTGTGTGTGTATATATATATATATATATATATATATATATATATATATATATATATATATATATATATATATATATATATATATATATATATATATATATATATATATAATGGAATGTTCCTACATCTTGTATATACATTTTAAAAGCTCTTTACTATACTTATGAAATAATTATGTGTTTTTTTCACAAAAGACATTTTTCTTCTAAACCATCTTCCTTTTTAAATTCGGATTTCTTTGTTGAAAAATAATATGTCAGCACTTATTTTTCGTGAATCTATTTTTCATCCCACTTGTCAGACACCAATGAAAGGATGAAAAATAATGCGCATCGCTTGTTAAAGAAGAGAAAAATAAACATGAAAGCAAAAAAGCAATCTTTGACAAAGAGAAATTTAGATAAAAGGGAGAAAGAACATGAAAAATATAATATTAAGAGGCCTTCGAAGAGAATGATATAGAAACAACATATTAAATAAAGGAATACCAATTTTAATAGGGAAACTTGGATACTTCTAAGAAGAGGTCCGTATACACATTTGATATTAAAAGAAATATTATTTTCATTTAATTTTTATTAAAATGTAATCATTTTAATTTCTATCTATCCTAATAGTAATAGGTAACCTCGTTCAGGTAAAATGACAATACTAGGTTATGCTTTCGTTTTTATTCACCCCAATGTAAAGCTCAAGCTAGAAAGTTACTATTTATTATGATAAATGAGGAGTATTATATGAATGAAAATAGTGATAATAGTTGTAATTGAAGATTATGAGAATAAGGGTGCGGGTAGATAACGATTTATTATGGCTTACAAAAGCCAAGATTGCAGTGTTCAGGGAAGCACCCATGTAAGAGGGAGTCAGTTTCGCAAAATGGTAGTTTCGCCATTGTTACATTAACTTCTTTTTTTTTTAATTTAAAAAAAAATTTAAAATATAAATTTTCTTTAAATGTAATTGAAGCTATGAATACTTAAAAAATATGTATCAATTATAGCCACAGAAGAAAAAAGGAAAAGAAAAAGAAACAAAATATATATTGATTTATGGGAAGGCTGAACTACAAGAAAAACTCTTAGCATGATTAATATTCTCGTTCAGATTTAGCAAGATTATGGAAGCACCAACGTCGAAAAATCGTTATACTTAGGCGTTTTACTAATTGGTTAAAAACTCATCATTTTTAAGAGTGAAGCACATTTATAATTGGAAATTGTTCGTGTTTTCTCGAATTAAATAAAAATGAATGCATGATAATGTCTGATATTAAGCGCACACACGGAAACAATAGATTGACAATGCCGGTACACAGCCGGTATTCCAAGTATAACGATTTTAGTTAGTCTGAAAAGCAGTCATCTCTTGCTCAAACAATAAACACATAGCAGGCAACAATTGATTCTTTAAATTTTCGAGGAGAAATATTTTCATTACTTCACAAACTTGTAACTTTACTTAGAATGTTTTACATAGTTAAACTGCACTGAGTAATTATAGCATAAAGTTGCGCTCTCTCCACTTCCACTCATAAAAGGTGTGTAAGCACATCGACATGAAGAATATCCCAAACGAATTATCGTAAATGAGGAAACAAAACCAAGCATATCAAATTGAGTGTGTGTGTGTGTGTGTGTGTTTAGAAAAAAGGAATGTAACGCCTTTCCTGGAATGTGACCAAAGCAAAAGATTATCAAAGAAAGATTATCAAACATAATACAAAAAGGAACATTTGAAGAAGATACCGAAGCCGAGGTTTACGTGAGAAATATTTATTTTTCTATCAAGGTCTCTCATGTTATTGCAGGGTCAACTGTATGTTAAGAATACATGGCTCACGGGATGATACGACTTTGAAACTTATTCTGACGAACTGAGTGAAAAGATAAAAAAAAAAAGGTAGGGAACGATTTCGAAAGTATACCCCCCGGATGCGATGCAATACTCGATAAAGAATGAAGAAAATATCAACAGTCATGATGAAAAAAGAAAACAAAGAACCATGATGAAAATTTCAGTGCGAATAATGAATTGAATATTCCCAAACTTGAAAAACTTTTTTGCAAATGCTTCCTAGTTGCAGACGTAAGAAAGAGATAGTAACTTCCAAAAGACTACGTCTTGAAATCTCAGAAGAAAGACAAATGTGAAGGGCGGACAACAGGGAAAGATCTGAACGAGTCGTGTTTAAAGTGTGCTCTCGTGAAGTGTGCATGCACAAACTTTCCGGATTGCATTTGAATTTATTGGCAGAGTCGGATTTTCGCGCCAGATTCTGTCGAGAAGCTGAAATGTAAAGTGTCTGCAAGTCTCACTACAAGTTGACGTGTGTCAACAGAATCGGTTGGAATGAGCGATTGACGACGAATGAGCATTCCATGTCGTTTGTGCAAAGGCAGAAAGCGCGAAAACGAGCAGCAAAGTAGAGAACGGCGAGTAAATAAAAGAAGCAAAGAGGCAAAGGGGATGGCTGGCAATGAAAAAGTGAAGAGCAGATAAAAGGACGACATAAACGTGAAAGAAAGAAAAAATATAATTTATGGTGAGTACTGATGAGAAAACAGATTTGATGCGTACGAGAAGGAAAGAAAACGAGTCAAATTTGGATGCAAGAAATGCATTCACATGGGCAAAGCTTAAGGTAGACCAAGAGAAACGAATATATATATATATATATATATATATATATATATATATATATATCAGAATAAAAGTAAGACGAGCACTCAGTGAATGCAAGTGTTAGTATATATGTGAACATTTATGTGCCACATCATATCACAAAACCCATGAGGTTTCGTATGAGCAATAGTGATGTGCCTGTAGCAAAATAGCATGACGAATTTAATGAGGCTGATTTTTGAATTTAGCGTTTTCTTCCTCCTGAACTGGTTACCACTTCACGTCTAAGAATACCCAGTCAGCCGTGCTATTTTACCCATATATGGAGGAGAAGAGATAGGTTCATATCTTTGCCAGAAGTATTTGTGTAAAAGTGAATGCAACAAAATCAAATTCAATTCGAAGTCGTCTTACTGATTTCTCTTTCCGGTCTGATAACCGCCACATGACGTGCGCACATATGATTATGTGTAGACATGTTAGTGCGTCAATAGACTTAAATATCTGAGATAGACTGATAGTCAAACTGAAATGGACAGGGAATAGACTGAAATAGTAGATAAATTGAGTTAGAAATTTATGTATGTATCTATTGATCCATGCTGTTATAAAATTTGGCTTTATTTTACGCAGTGCTGCAATTGTAGGGTACCTAGTGAATATTGAACTAATTATCAATGCTTTCTGATTCAAAATTTCTACACGCTTAATGATTACTCACTTATTTTTTTTAAGTAGATATATATGCACTGTTTTTGCATTTAGAACTCCTATAAAGCAGCTTTCAACGAAACACATTGAAAGATAATACGTGTAAATATTATCATTTTTTTTATTCGTCCCATAAATACGCTGTAATGTTATCAAATGTAAGAATCAGCTTTATTTAAATAATTTTATAATAAAATCAGTAACAAAATCCTGTATTATTTGAGACATGAATTTTTACGGACATTAAAATCTTAATTTAAACTTTAATTTACAAACATTATCATTTCTCTATTATGTTAAAGAATTTATTAGGTTGTTCGGAAAATAATGCCTGATATTAGAATAAAGCTTTTAATTATGTTTTAATATATTATTATAATAATTGTACAAAAATATATTACTAATTTCTAAAGTGTTTATTTATATCAATTTCTTTCAGAATTTAACTTAAAACATTATATATCCCTCATGAAAAAAGAAGAGATGCGTTTACTTTTTGACAAGTTTGACCATAATGCTTCTCAAATTGCTGTCACTTGTGATCGGCCAGCATCACACTACTTTCTGAACTTCCACTGTGGAGATACAGGTCTTAAAGTAGTAGAGGACGTCTATCTGCATTGGACAAAATCAATATCTGAATGTACTAGCCGAATAAAACCCACGTCAAAATATCAGAGAAATATCTCAGATAATATGTGTCAGCATTTCAACAATATCAGACCATCTCAAGACAATTGATAAGGTGAAGAGCCTCGATAAATGAAACTATGAACTCAATGAAAGTCAATGATTTCGATGTTTTGAAGTATTTTTGATGCTGCATCTGAAAAATTCTAATGATCCTTTTCTTCATTGAATAGCAACATGTGACTTAAAATGGATCTTTATGACAACTGTAAATGATCGGTTCAATAGCTTGATCATGATGAAGCATCAAAATACTTTCCAAAACAGAAATTTCACCGACAGATTATGGTGACTGCCTGATGGTACACTATTGGCTTTCTGGAATCTAAGCAGAGCATCACTGCTGAAGCTTACTGCCAGCAACTGGATGAAATGCATATTCAGTTAAGCAAAATGCAATTGGCTCTGGTTAATCAAAGATGTACAATTCTACTTCATGACAATGCTCGACCACATGTTGACAGTATGACACTGCAGAAGCTCATCGATTCGGGATACACGAGATTTTGACATGTTCTCCATATTTCTCGGATCTTTTTCCCACTGACTACCACTTTTTCAATGATTTTGACAATTTTTTTTAAGTCAAAAGACATTCCGTTGCAAAGATGTAGAAACTGCGTTCAAAGATTTCTTGGTATCGAAACCTTTGGAGTTTTATCGTAAAGACAAAAACAAATCTTGTATACTCGATGGCAGAAAATCTACAAATGTTCAGGCTTCCTATTTTGACATTGTTTAAATACATTAATTTGAGAATAAAAGTTGATTCTATAATCGCATATTTTTTCCGACTAACCTAATATTA